CCAACTACAACAACCGTGCCCACCCCAGCCACAAGCACTGCCAGCACCTTCAGTACCACTGCAGGAAGGACCACAAGAGCCTCAGCCACCTCAGCTCCAGGAGAAACCTCCACTGTGGCCACCCAATCTCCAACTACAGTCTCTGAAATCAAAACAGGAACCACTGTTGGAACAACAGCTGTCCCTGGCACCACGGCCCCAGCCAGAGAAGGCACAACCAACATTGCTACCACCACCAGCACTTCCTCTACGTCATCTGATATAAAATTAAGAACCACTACTGGCTCCTCAGGTCTGCTCACTACAACTCTTCCTCAGTCTGGAAGTACCACAGGTGTAACAGAAATTGTTACAACATTCTTTTCTCCTACTAAAGAAAATATTGCTACAACAGTTTTCTCTGGCACCACTGTCAGTCCAGGTATGTCATTGTCATTCTTAATATTTTACACCCAGCTTTTTCTTTTGACCCACATTAATATCTTTGTGTTCTGTGGCTTCTTCCCCTAAACCAATATGTGATTGTATGAATCTTTGACCATTTAGATTCCTTAAAACACAAAAACCAGTTTTTAATCAATCTGCCCCTTTTTTTACTAGTATCTATGTTAGATAGTTGTGTTAACATCACAGTATTAATTCTCACTTCAATGGAGAAGCTTGAAACTTTTGAAAACTTTAGAGGTAAATCTCATAATCTTTGCCAAAGGCCAGATGTTATTCAATGTACAATGAAAGAAGCTCCACAATCTCCACTTATGAATAGGTCAAATATTTGAATGCAACAAAAATGTTCACTTGGTTTGCCAAAATGTTGAACAGACCTCTTGAATATGTTAATAATTAGATAAAAATCCTGTACCTGCAAACTAAATTATTACTTGTGCTCAACAGTAGCTTCAGCTGGAACATCACAATCAAGTTACGTTACATCAAGTACTCCTGTGACCTTCAGTTCTTCCACCAGCACATCTGTTACATCCAACAAAATCATTCCATGCTTTTGTCATGTGTTTGAAACTTTATTTTCTCCTGGTAAGTGTCTTATTTTACAATTATAAAAAATTTCATAAGCAATATAAACCCTTAATACTGTATTCCATTAAAGATAACCACTCAAAATAATCTAAACGTAGAACTTTTTATACCTAAATATACTTCATATTTTCACAATAATTTCTTGATTTTTGTCCCTATGTATTTTCATTCTTGTAATTTCTCCTCCAATTTTTATCTACAGGGGAAGTGGTATACAACAGAACAGACAGAGCTGGCTGTAATTTTTATGCACTTTGCAGCAAGGAATGTGAGATTGAGCCCTTCCAGGGACCGTGTCCTCTGGCAACTCCTGTTCCTTCAGTCTCCTCCTCAACTACATCACAAGCTGCCTCACCAACCACAGCAACACCCTTCACAACTTCAGCAGCAAGAAACTGTACTGATGTCAATCCTGCACGAAAGGTGGTTCCCCTCCCTACTTTCTAATACACCACTATTGCAAAACCTGACCAATTTCTGTCCTTTTCAACAGATTCTAATCCAAACAGCCAACTCAAATCAACCCCTATGTATCTCAATAACAAAATTGGTCATGGAACAAATTACCTGATTGCACACAATTATTTATCCTGGCATTACCAGACTTCCAAATATTCTCTAGGTGGAATAGCTCACTAAGACCATTAAAGACTTTTGGTTTTAATAAAAGAAATTTAAATTTCATAGAGATAAGTAGACTAGCCATGAAATGTAAAATACCATTCTTTTTATGCAAGAAAATTCTGTGGCTGTTCTGAGCATACCTGCTCTTAAATGATGTGCTAAAACAACTCCAATCTGAATCATTTACTAATTTTGAGAATATATCTTAAGTTAAAACTGAACAACTAGGATGAAGGAGCACTTAAAAATAAATAATTTACATATTTTCAGCCTGGAGAAGAGTGGATAAATGAATGCCAGAAGTGTGTCTGTGACTCCCTCACTGCTACTGTGCAATGCCAGCCACTCCCATGCCAAACAGCTCAGCAAACTATTTGTGACCTAGGATTTGTTTCCATGCCTGTACTACCACAAAAAGACCCATGTTGTCCCGAATTTGAATGCCGTAAGTATTAAAAATACATGTATAAATACCACACCATACTCCAGTAAATTACATTTGCACTTCCATTAATATCTAAGGAAGTTCTTCATGTATCACAATAACAGCAAAATCTTTCTTAAACTGTTCTGTCTCAGTGAACACACAACGATTTTTGGCTAAATATGCATTAAAGCTTTGTTTAAAAAAAATGTCATTTTCATTTAACTTTGATGAGAGAATGGGTGAGAGAGCAGAATAATATTTTGAACATTGACCAGTCTGCGTAGCTCAACTATCTCTGTACCTGTAATTATAAATGTTATTGATGCATCTTTTTCCTGTTATTACATAGGAACATTGGAGCACATCAACATTAGCCTAAATGCAACTAAACTAAGATGCATAAACAGAAGAATAAGCCACTAAAAAGCTTAACAGTTAACTATAAGACCAAGTAACAGGATGCAATAGTACAAAATGAATTGTAATCAGTAACTGAATTGACAGTGTATGAAAAGTAGTAATTATACTTACACTCTTGCCAGATGCTCACGAAAATAAAAAAAAATCCTACAGTTATATTAATTTATAAACATACACTTCTTTATACATATATTTTATGTATGTATACTTGAGCAAAAGAATAAAAAGTACCTATAAATTAAGCCTAAAAAAGGAAAGTCAAAACTAAGGAACAGGCAAGTTTGAAGCAATTCTGTGAAAGACAGATGGGTTCTGCCATCTTGTCAGATTTACATTACCACAGTAGGAATATGTTATTCCACTGAGTTAATCTTCCATACAAGCCATGTTCTGAAAGGTCAATAAAGAATAACTGAAGCATCTTTGTATATCACTGAACTCCTAGAGTTCAAAGAGGAAACAACTAATTTAAAGGGCAAAAAAGGGATTTTTCAGGCATAGCTTGAGTTTGAAGCCATTCCTCTCCAACTCTTCCAGCTAATTTTAATGATGAAACTTTACTTAAACATTCAGCTACACAACATATGAAGTCTAAGCACGTAGAGGAATTGAATTCAAGTTTTCCATATTCTCTGTGTTACTAATAAATATCTTCATAACATCTTGACTTCTCAGGAAGTCTCGCAATTGGAGTTATTCTGGATTTCATTTTTTGTTTTTGTTTTTCAGGACCTGTACCTGATGTCTGTGTGATTAATGGAACATTGTACACGGTAAGAATGATATAGCAGTATATTGCTGGAAGTGAAAAGTACATCCTTTCTACAAAAATAAGTCTTTGAGAAAGTTCTTTTCCCAGTACATGTTAGTGGGAGTTTTTCTCTCTAGCCCTTAATTGGAAGTTGTTTGGGTATTTTAAAGTCAAAATCAAATTTTTCACAGAAGTCTTCCTCAACCGAGTGGTATTAAACAAGAGTGTACCATTTTTAGTGATGTATTTTCCTTTCAAGCTTCCTCTCACTTCTGTAATTAATGACTTTGCCAGACAATCTGATGAATAGCCCAAACTCAATTGCTCTTTGAAATAAGCCCAGAGAACCTTAAAAAACCAAAACCAACATTTTTTATCCAGTTGATACCTAAACCCTTTTGCTAAAATTGGTACTTAGGTAATTAACTCATAATTTAAATATTAGCACTAGAGTGTTTGGGAATACATTTCAGAAAGACTAAAATCCATATGTAAGTTTAGATCTCTGCTTATGTACCTGCATATGTAAAAGCTTATTTTAATCTCTGCTTTTAAATTATAGTTGTTTTACAACCACTAAACGTAACTTACAGATAAAAATTATTCTTAAATGGAGCATTGAAAAGCTGGTAAAATAATTAGACAGTACAAACCAGTCTTAATTTAATTTCATTAATTTACTACTCTATTTTACATTGCTTCCTTTAGTTTCTTCTTAACATGTGCTTTCCTACAAGGCATGAAGCCAAAAAACTCTATGTTCAAAGAGAATTTGAGAACTGTCGTACTTGCATTTCAGAAACCTTAATGGTTCTCAGCAATGCTTTAAACTCTGCCTTTATATGATATAGAAACTGTTGGCATTTGAATATTTTTTGGGGTCTTTTCTTCTGTCTTGCAGGTTGGAAAGTCAGTAGTAATCGATTCATGTAAGAAGTGTACCTGCAGTTCTGAGAAAGATGCAGACACTAATGCAAACATGATGCATTGTGAAACACTTCAGTGTGAGACATCCTGCCCGCTGGTGAGTTCAGGTTCTCTAGGCTGCCCAGTCAGCTACAGCAAGACTGGAATTCTCCATCACCAATTCAACATACATTCTTCTTCATCTCTTTCTGAGTAGGGTTACCAATACATGATTGAGGAAGGAGAGTGCTGTGGGAAATGTATTGAAGTAGCTTGCAAAGTCAAACTCAGTAACAACACTGTTCATGTGCTCAATGTAAGTATTCCTTTCATTTTCAGATCTATCTGTTAGCCCATACAAGTTAGAAAAGCTAAGAGTCAACTCATGTCCCTTATGGGTAAAACACTGAAATTACTCTGAAAAACTATGTATCAGCTTCCTGAGTTGAACATTATTTGGAATCAAATTCTTGATTTTTTTGTGGCTAATGGAGCAATGGTTTCTAATTTATGGTCTAAGTGTTCACAGCCAGGATTTAAACTTCCAAGCTAGCTAGTTTCCAGAATTTCATTTTTGCCACTTGAAAGAAATTCAGAAGCATTGGAGAATCTTTGAGGAATGAGAACTGAATTAGCTCAGATACACTTGATCACAATGAAAAAACCAACTTTTGCTTTTCTTATAAAATCTTAGGTTAATGAGATCCTGCCATTCGATCAATGCAGCCATTACAAATGTGAAAAAATTGAAGACCAGTTTGTTGCAGTCCAAACTAAAAAAGTATGCCCTGAGTACGACCCTGGAGAGTGCGATCCTGTAAGTTTTAATCAATTTTTCATTGACTGAATTCAGTATAAATGGACAAGGAATACAACAAATCACTTCCACTGAAGTTGCAAGAATGTCTTAAGAATGAAACTAGGCTTGCTCTATGGTTAATAATAAGAAAAGCATAGTATTTTCTTATGAGGCTGCAGGAATCCAAGACTCCTATGGTGAGGACAGTAAGCCATCCATTGTTTCATTCAGGGTTCATCACAGAGAAGCCTTCTGCCCAGTATCAGTAGTGCAAACTCATATTCTTACTCATGATTGTCATCTGTGCACTAATACAAATCCTCCTTCTTTACTTTTACAAAGGACGATGCAGAGATTACATCTGATGGGTGCTGCAAAATATGTAAACGTAAGTAATGCTGTGTTTATGTGCTCTGCCTGAAGAGCACTCTATTTAACCTCTCTCTTTGAGTGGATGGAAGGATTCTTCACTCACCCTGTTTTCACACTCTATTTAAGATGATCCTATGTTTCACTGTTTATTCAAAAGATGCAATTTCTTTTTTTCCTGATACTGAATAACACAAATCAAACCAGCAACGCTCAGGCTTCTGCATTATCTTCCAAAGGCACTTTACAGCTGAAATCAAAGATTAGTCTGACAACCCCATATACATTACACAGTACCCACCTCATCACATACTGCAGATTCTCAGTAATGAAACATCATGCACTTTGAAACTAGTTTACAATTCCTTTTGTTTAGAACTAGAGAACTGAAGTATATTTTCTCTCCTCCCCTTTTTTTATGAAGCTAAAAACTGCAAGCCTCACACCAAGGAAACTGTGATCCGCCATGCTGACTGTGAGTCTTCTGAATCTGTTGAGCTGTCATATTGTGAAGGAACTTGTCCTGGCTCCTCAATGTAAGTTCTAATAATTAATTTAACATCTCTATGGCTTCCTTTCTACTGGTCTGTCAAGTTTATTTATCACCCAAGGGTACTGAGGGAGCTGGAAAAAGTGTTCACAAAAGCACTTTCAGTCATTTGTCAGCAGTCTGGTTAACCATGGAGGTCCCAGTTGACTGCAGGTCAGCAAAGGAGATGCTCATCTACAATAAAGTTTGGAGAGGATCTGGGGAACTACAGGCCTGTGAGCCTGACCTTGGTGCCAGGGAAGGACATGGAGCAGATTGTCTTGAGTGTGATTACAGAGTACATACAGGGCAAACAGGGATCAGGCTCAGCCAGAAAGGCAGCTGCTGCTTGACCAACCTGATCTCCTTTTACGACAGGGTGACCCATTTAGGGGATGAGGGAAAAGCTGTGGATATTGTCTACCCAGACTTCTGTAAACCTTTTGACAGCATTTCCCACAGCATTCTCCTGGAGAAGCTAGGAGCTCATAGCTCAGACAGGTGAACTGCATAAAAAATTGGCTGGATGGCCAGGCCAGAGAATGGTGTTGAGTGGAGTCACCTCTAGCTGGGGGACAGACACCAGTGGTGTTCCCTGGGGCTCAGTGTTGCAGGCAGTCCTGTTTTACATCTTTATCAATAATTGTGTGAAGGCCGATAAGGCTCAGTGCTGTGTCCTGCCCTTGTGTCACAACAGCCCCAGACACAGGCTGGGGCAAAAGGGCTGGGAAGTTGCCCAGTGGAAAACAACCTGGAGGTGCTGGTGACAGCAGCTGAACATGAGCCAGCAGAGCCCCGGTGGCCAAGAAGAACAAGAACATCCTGGCCTATGTCATCAATAGTGTGGCCAGCTGGACCAGGACAATGTACTTGGCCATAGCAAGGCCACACCTTGAGTCCTGTGCCCAGTTCTGGGCCTCTCACTGAAAGAAAGATTGACGTGCTGGAGCATGTCCAGAGAAGGGCAACAGAGCTCAGGAAGGGCTGGAGCACAAGTCTTGAACAGCAGCTGAGGGAGTTGGAGGTGTTCAACCTGAAGAAAATGAAGCTCAGGGGAGACATCCACACTCTCTACAACTGCCAGAAAGGAGGGTACAGTGAAGTGGGGGTTGATCTATTCTCCCAGGTAACAAGTGAAAGGATGAGAAGAAATGGTTTTAAGTTGCACCACAAGGGGTTTAGATTGGATATTAGGAAATATTTTTTCACTGAAAGGGCTGTCAAGCAATGGAAGAGGTTGCCCAGGGAATTCGTTGAGTCACCATCCCTGCAAGTATTTAAAAGACACGTAGGTGTGGCACTTTTTAGTGGTGGACTGTGTATGGGTTCATGCTTCAACTTGATGATCTGAAAGGTCTGTTCCAACCTACACAATTCTATGATCACAAATAGCAGCCAAGTTAATGTGTTCCTATGATTCCACTGAATTGAATAGGATTCAATGGAAGCAAGAACAGTTTCACTACTGAAGACAAATGAAAATCACATTCCTAAGTGTGTGTGTAAGAAGGAGGAAAAGAGGATGTTAAAAAAAAACCCAAACCCAAATGAAACACTCACAAAACAAAAATCTCTGAGGGAGTTTTCTGTGTGTTTTTAACGAGATGCATTTCCCCCCATGGAACACAGGTACTCTCTTGAAGCAAACCAGATGGAACACAACTGTGGTTGCTGCCAGGAACTCAGCACTCAAACAAGAGAGGTGACCCTGACTTGTCGAAATGGAACCAGCATAACTTACAACTATCTCTATGTGGAAAACTGCCAGTGTGTGAATGCTTGCTCTTCACAAACCACTGCAGCACACGACTCCCAGTTCCAACAGTCTGTAAAATACGGCTCCCAGTTACAACAAGCTGTATCACTTGGTTCCCAATGGCAACTCAGCTAAGGATTTGATCATTGGAAAAAGAAAGCAGAGACCCTAGGAAGCTGGAATTATGTCTTCTCCAGAATAACTTGTGCTCCTTCTTTAACATTCTTTTTTCATGTCTTACTTATAAAAAATAATAAAAAAAGTCAATTAAATTGTAGTGTTTGGACTTTTTAAAAAAATGTTACAGTATTGAAGAGTAAAAACATATGACTGCAAAATACCTTATGTAACTTACAGAAATATGCAAATATACTTTATCACAAAACTTATATTTGGGGTAAAAAAGAATTAAGAGGTCTCTAAAAAATAAAGCAAGAAACCATTGCAGATACATTGCACTTCTTGATCCTAGTGAAAGTGTTATTGCATATCCTTTTTATAGACATAATGGTCCTACCACATCTCAAAAACAGGGACATAGCTGCTTTATTTGATCAATAAAACTTTCAGTACTTTTCAATTATGACTGTTCAACACTCATCTTCATTACCTGAATGACATAGAGTGCAATGAATGGCATCAGGAAGTTATCTGACTCAGAGGAGTATATTCTCTAGCAGTCTTGGGGAATACAGCCCTCTTCCTGGACTAGATAAAATTCCCTCACCAATGTCCAAATAGCTCTTCCCATTGGCATAAAAGGTACAAAGATGAAAAATCTCCTCTTATTTGTATGTATGTACTGTATGTATTTCAAATGCCTTCCAGCATACTCACACATCACAGAACAATGTGAAGGATCTTGCTATCACTCCATCCATCCAACACCATGTGGCCATCAGGCTTATGTCCAGCAAGCCTGGGTTTAGCCCTTTTCCCCTTCAATCCAGTTTAATGCTCTTTCAATGAGCACTGCACCCTTGTGCAAAGATCCTTTTTTCTGTTTGAGACAGGTGTACCCCAGCTGTTGCCACCAAGTATCAATCTGCTGGTTCTTCTTGTTTCTTCCCTCACCATTCCCTGCAACTGGAAGGATAAATGAGAACACTACTCATGCTCCTGATCCCATGGTAACCAAGTGTCCCAAGGCCCTGAAATCCCTTCTGATCATCCTTGGCCTTCATATTGCAAACCTCATCCTTGCCTACATGAGAAAGCAGTAATGGATAATAATCCAAGGGCTGTACCAGAGCTGAAAGCTTCCCCATCACATTTCCAACCCAGCCCTCAGGGAAGCAAATGACTTCCCTAAGTGGGGCTTGCCAGGAAATTGGACCTTCTATTTCCCTCACTGGAGGGTCTCCTATGCCAATACCTACCCCACCTTTCTTTCTTTCTGGAAGCAGCTTCAACACAGTGCATAGGGGAACTTCTCCTTGGTGAGTCTTCCAACACAGATGAACCATCATCTTCATCCTTTGGTTTCACATGCAGAGCCTTGGGAAAGTGGAGTAGTCACAGAGCAGTGTTCCAGCTGTGCCAGGCTGGAACAAGGAATTTGTAACCATTCCCCCCATTATGTATGCTTTTAGAACTACTTAAAGAATAGTTTTTAAAATAGCTGTAAGCATTTTAAACCAACTCGAATACTCCACATTGAACTGATGACTAGTACAGAAGTAACAAATTGAAAGCAGAAAAACATTGTCCTGTGAGTGTTAAGTTCCTGATAATCCATAAAGAAAATGGACAGCAGAGACATGGAAATCGTACTTTTTCATTCACTGGGGTTATTTTATAATTGGAGATAATTTTAAAATAAATTGAATCATCCTTCATTCTCTTTCAGTGGTAAATACATTAAACTTATAAAAGATATCCATTTTTCATACACAGAAATATTTTAAAAACATGTTTTAAGTGAACTCTTTGAATACTTCTAACAGTAGTACTTTCATAGTTCTCCATGGAAACACAGATGCAGCTAAGATAATTTTCAATCTACTTGCTTTTCATAAATTCACTTTTCCCGTCTATATGCAAATTTTCCTTCAAAACTTATGGTATAACCCAAGTATACTCTATTGGTTCTTACAAAATTAATTAAGCTTTTTGGCAAGACAGTAAATAAAATACTTCTAAAATATACTACTGCATAAAAATAGATTAACTTGGGTTTCTGACTATGATTCCTGAGGAATCAGAGAAGACTACTAATACAGGTTTTCATTTTTCCTTCTTATTCTAAGAAAACACATATTTGCATTTCTCCTGGAGGCCTTGCTCATACTGATGTTCTGAAATATTTTAATAATTCAAAATATTCTCTGATTTCTCTTTATATCCCACACATCATCCCTGATTAACACTGAAATCAAAAAGCTAATAAAAATACAAAATGCTAAAGAGATGCTTCAGCAGTCACAAGAACACCAACATTTGTTTAAAGTAAACTGATTTTTGCTCTTCCTATCTCTCACAGCAAAAGGGAAAAATGTGAAAGCAAACTGTAACCTTTGAAGATAAATTGGGATAGAAACTGATACTCGAGGTCTAGAAAAAAGCACAATTTGAACATAGTTTTATTTCACAGTAGGTACTCAATACATTAAGGAAATAAATCTAAGAAAAAACAGCTGTGAAAGATTCCTCTCGACTATTATTTGTTAAAAAAACAAAACCCTTTTGATTAGAAAAAAAGCACACTGTGAAGGGACAGTAAATCTCAAAATGTTAGCTTGGTAACACAGTGATACTTCAGACTAGCAGTTGGTTAATAATTAAAATTATCATTGAGCAAGTTGATGCTGTTAAGTAAGAAAGAGGGCCCCAGGTACCTTTGCCACGGCAGTACTAGAAAGAGATGCTATGCAAATCACATTTTTCAAATTCTTTTATCATATATTAACAGATAAAGCCAGCTCTTTTTGTAGCTGGACTAACACACATGGTCCATTTCATAACTCTTCACTTGGACACCACTCTCATCCAGAGTCCTCCATCCTGCACACTGCAGCATTCCCTCCATACCCACACACTGCTCTTCCCTCCTCTCTTACCCTCCAACGCTGTCCTTCAAACAATGCAGCCTCACTACCACCTTCTTCTGTCCTCTAGACCTGCAACACCAGAGCATTTACTTGAGAAAGTAGCCCCTAGAACAGTCAGAAAGAGGCACCTACCTGCAGAGGAATTCTCCAAGTACTTTTGAGCATTTACCATTACTGTTCCCACGAGACGGTCACACTAAGAACCAGTGTAATTTGCCAACCAATGTTCCACACTGAATAAAAGACACTAACCAATTCTTGAATTTTACATCAGTCTATAGACAAAGACTCACATTATGGTGCTCTCCAACAGAGACATAATACACTTGCATTCAGATGATACATTTATTAAATTAGAATGAAAAAGTTAATGTACTTTAGAGTGCAAGAAACACATTTGGACACTGGACCTCAATACAGAGAAACAATGGCTTCAGAATAATTACAGCAAAAAACATCCTCTGTACGGTATTACATATCAACCAAATAGGCAAGAACGTTTATAAGGGGGGGAAAAACCCACTCAGTACCATCAGCAGATGCAAAGAGCATTAGAGAAGTTGCAAGGATCTAGCTAGACAAAAAATGTTCCTACCTTTAGCAAGGTGAGGCTCTTGGCAGGACTCAAACTATACTGAGAGCACTAACTTTTAGCAGATGCCTGTCTTTTATACAGCTGCCTTTGGCTCCAAGCTGCTGGAAGCTGTTGAGCAGAGGAGCAGCATCAAACACAGCATTACTCCATTAGCATTTTCTCCAAAGCTACAACCATGACTGATGATCTGTTTATTTTAAATAAAAAAAAACAGACTTTCAGTTCCAACACCTTAATTTCACAGACCCTAAAAATAAGTAAACACTCTCTGCTTTTTTTCATCTCTTTCCAATTCTGACCTAACAACAAACAGCTTAACTGGAAGGATATGTATGCTGAAAAGCTGAGTAGGCTGATGATTTTGTTCTTAACAAGATAAAGTAGCACATATTGATGTAAGAGTCCCATCTCTAATGCTTAATTAAATAAAGACAAAAAAATCCACAGAACAATATTTAAGTATAGTGTAAGATAATGAAATCCCTCTACTGGCCATACTGCTCCTACATATCCTATTTTCAACTCATATTTGTACCCTGTTTTGCAAAACATTTGCCTAGGGAAAAAAAAAAATCACACTAAAAATATATCTAAGAACAGGAGTCTCCCTCAGAGGGCAAGAGCCGTTTATGAATAAACCTGGCTAGCTTAACTTTTGCACTTACCCCTTCCAGCAGCTAGGACTGAAAGGTGGGTTTTTTCTATATTTGAAATGGAGCTGTAATAGGATGCAGTACAATTTACCAGCCATTAAGTTGAACCATGACCACTTGCTTTTATGAAAAGCTGCATTATGAATCCCACCATTTTAATATAAAAATTCAAATATGTACATTTTCCCTGAATTGTTCCATCCCTAGCAATTCATGTTATCTGTGTAAAAGCTAGAGCACAGGACTCTTCCTGGAGGTATCTAAGCATTAAATCCTTACCAACATTCATCCTTTTGGGTCATGATGTCACAAAACACTGTGCTATAAAGACCAAATGCCTCTACACCTACTCAATCACAAAATTTACCATGATTGTAGGAAAGGGGCAAGTTTCTTGAAGAACATTCATTTAATTTTAGAAAACAAAAGTGTGGCAACTCTACAACTACAGCACACAGAACTATAGCCTTGAATTTCATTATTCAAAATCCAATTGGAGGATGTTTAAAGACACTTATGCTTTCAATGGGAAATTTAAGATGTTAAGGGATTCATAACAAAACTTAAAACTGTACATTATGAAAAGACAGCTTTAAAAGGCCAGAAACTGGGAGGATTTTTGGTGCTGTATTTTAAAAGTTTCAGTATTACTTTTAATGATTAAAAAAATAAATATTCATGCTCTACTGCCAGTGCTACCTAAAGGCTACTTGAATGTAGGGGGGGGGATAAAATCAGCTTTCCATCAGATAATAAAGAAAATATTTTAAGCATAGGACATGAAATAAAAGTATGGGGAAGAAGAGAATATGGGTCATCGTTCCCTACTCCAAACCTGGCTTTAATGTTCTCATGAATCACTCAAGAGCCTAGATTTCAAGTGTACATTCATTTCAACTCTTGAAAATATAAAGTTCTATGGCTATTGTAGAAAGTATTTGAAATCAAACATTAAAGAGACAAAACAGCAACAT